TTAAGTAGAGCGCGCGCGCCCTCTCTGTGATAACAGCTCACGGTCAGCAGCTCACTTCATGTGTGATTTCCCGGCCGCGAAAACATCATTATATTAAGACAAAATGACATTTTTAGGTGAATTCAATAGACAATAGAATTCAACATCATTTGGAGGTGTCAATGTCACTGAACAACGTGTGTGTAACAATGAAAAGACTCAGGCAGCCGCCTTTTCTTCTCTCCTGAACTTGAAAATATTATTGGCAGAATCGTAGAAATGCTGGATTAAGATCGTCTAGGGGGTCGAATCGAGATCGCGATCTTTTAACGATTAATTGTGCAGCTCTATAACACACGTTTATTATCCACATTTAAAATATAAAAAATGTTTACAGATTGATATTTTTCTGATCCCCCAACTCTGTGGTTGGTTGTTTTGGAAAATATAAAAAGATGTGTCAATATAATGTTGACGTTAACTTTCTATGTGAATTTATGTTTTGAGTTTTTACTGCAAATGTCACATCCATAACGCTGAAATTGCTCATATGCTGTACTTGTGTTCTTTTGTTCTCGCGAAACAACATCCACCATCACCGAAGTACTGTTCCGATTCAAAGTTGTTCAAAGAAACAACCGTCTGGGCGTGAAAGCACGCTATTTTTGCACGCAATTAGCAGACAGTCGCAGCCAAATTAAACTTCAGTGACAAGGCAGCTCTGGCCCAATTGGGCCAGTAACCATTCTGTATACAGTCCCAAGTTTCTCGCATGCTGGCCAGCAGGCAGTCCTTATTGTCGAGCCCTGAATATACATTTCAAATCGCAGCCTCTTGCTATTAGCTAATAGCAACAGTTCAAATCACGATTGAGATTCTATTTCGATTATTCGCACAGCCCTACTTATCTTTATTTTCTTTTGTTACTTTATACTTGTATAATGTCCATTGTAGTTTATTAAATCCGATCATCAAAGACACGAGTCTGTGTAGAAGAACACATTTTACTTCACATTTATGGTGATTTACATTTTCTTAAATTAAACATTAATTTATAATATTAATATAATATTAATTATAAGGCTAAGCTTTATATAATTAAATCAATTTATTGTAATGTACAATTAAAACCAGCGAATCGATGGTGAGGTAAGTGACGTCTATAAAGTACACTGCTGTTCCATTTGAAGAAGCATGCGACCTGTGTTCTCGCATACTCTACAGTTCGTTCATCCAAGTCTGAACTTGGCAAGTCTGAACTTCCAAGGACGCAAGTACAACCTTTGCGTACTTGGTATTGAGAAACAGCGCTGGCCTAGAGATGAGTAAATTAACAGCAGCTCACTGCTAACTGACTAAAACTGAAAAAAACCCAGATATAGAGATTCAATAAGCTAGGCTAAATGCAAGATTAGTAATTATCCTGAATAACAATTTGTTACTCTGACAAGAAACAAGACATACATTTGTATTAATGATTATGTCTGAATGACATGCAAGGCTTTAAAATACATTCAGAACCCTCATTACTCAATGAGCAGTACTGTACAATTGCGCATGGAAAATGCCACAGCATGAAGACCACATGCTGCTGGGCACTGGCTAGACCTGGCAAGCTCAAATAACTAGACCTGCGTCACAGAGACACTTAGCACACTTACAGCATTGACGCAAATCTCTTAATGCATACAAGTCTGTGTTGCTCAACCTCACACTATCTAGTGACGTCAGAAAGCCATAGTAACCACTCGCAGATTTCAACAACACAAACAATTAAGGCATAACTTTCAGACCCCAAGTCTGTTTTTTGGTGATTTTCGTGAATAAGTCTGATAAGCTCCGATATGGTCTCACGCACACAATGAACACTGTATATACAAGCACGCACACGCACACACCTGACACGCAAGCACCGCAGCTTAGCGGCAGTAAGAAAATGTTGTTTGTATATGGGCTGGAGATAGAGATTGACAGAGGAGTCTTCAAAGCTACGGAGACACTGATCCGGGATCTGATAACACTGCATTTCTTGGCATAGTAGTTAAGAACAGTCAAAAAAAAAAAAAAAAAACAAACACAATCCAAACCACAAGTTCCTGAATGCAGTTTTGCATCGCTTGTGAAAATGTGTGTCAGTTCTGACCTTTAATAGGGTATATGCCGAAGCATGCTAATAGGACTTTTAATTTGCCAGTAACCTGTGTTAAGCGCTTCCAGCGAACTGTATGCCAATGCAAAAACTGGCATGTTTAAGGGCTGTTTTCTTTACAAATCTGCGATCTCCACTAGCTGCCCTAGTAGCAAAGAATTCTGGCCCAGATTTGGCATAAAGCTGGCACAGCAGGCATTCATCCGGCACTGGCATACAGCATGTGGGCCAAACATGGCCCGTGTTTGGCAGAGGTGGCACCGTTTTTAAAGCGGCACACAAGATTTGGGCCAGATGAAAAACGTAGTATTTGGCCCAGATTTAAAAAGTTGATAAGTGGGCCATTTGAGTATGGCCAGTTTTGACCCACATTTAAAATACACTAAAATCATTTTTGAGTAAAGAAAAAAAATTCTACCAATCAGGTCACTTTGAGAAAAAGCGTGCCCATAGTGTGCCTAAAGTGCATCACTCCATGGGTTTATCAATTTCATTGCAATCGTGACACACCAACCTATCTGGCCCAGTTCAGGCCCAGTTATGAGTTATTAACTTGGCTGAGACTTGGCCCAGATATGGTCTGTGTTTGGCCCTTGTCTGGAAGCCAGATTTGGTCCAGTCATGTACCGTAATTCACTGCGGCATGTGGGCCAAGCAAAACCTGATTGTGTGGGCCAGAGCTGGGCCAGAGAAATTTTGCTATGTGGGTGATTAATATCCGATATAAAGTGAGGCTCAGATTGTACAAGAAGCACTGCATTAAATTACATTTTCCCTGCCATGTCTTTATAATATAAGCATTTATTTTACCCCAGTATATTCAATGGAGCTTTTGCGCTAGCCTGCCGATTCTGACGGGCGCGTGCGAGTAAACGGCTATTTGTCTCGTTTTACGCTTGAGCAACTAAATGAATGCCAAAGTTTATTTAACCGAATGCATTTTATTGACATTAAAACCTTGAGGCTGTAAATGGAACAGTATAAAATGGAAAAAAAAGTTCACAATAACAGGTCATCGGAAGTTTATCAGTATTGGAAAAACACTAGCTCGGCATATACCCCATTAAGGGTTAAGTTAGCATCTACTGATAGTTTTAGCATATTAGATATGGGAGAATGTGAAATGTGTTATTTTATGTAGATGTTGGCTTGATATCATGTAATTATGTCATGTTATGAAATGGTACCAAGATTTTGGGCAGTGCTGTAAAGAACCAATTATTCTATTGTATATGAAAAACTTAAGCTTGATTGGAAATCTTTTTGATCAAAATAAAAGCTTTACTGCAGCTTATGGTATTTATTACGTTTATATTTAGAATTTTTTTTTCTTTCTTTATCGACTACTCTATTGCAACTAAGATGAAAATAAGATGCAAATAAGATGAAGTTGCATTAAGATTTAAACACATTTCTCTATATACATAAAGTAGGGCTATATAAAATCTAATTTTGCTGCAGATGATGGAAAAAATATCAATTAATTAACAGCTTGATGTTTTTTGTGCTTCATGTCAGTTTATTTATTTGCTTTTCAATTAGGGCTGTGCGATATTGGACAAATCTGATATTGCAATATTTTGTATTTCTGCGATATATGTTGAGACGTAAATAATTTCACTCGATGACTTAAACAGCTTTATTAGGAAAGAATTAGATTAATTTGGGTATATACAGTTAAAGTCAGAATTATTAGCCACACTAAATTATTAGCACCCCTGTTTATTTTTTTCCCTAATTTCTGTTTAATGGAGGGAAAATTGTTTCAGCAAATTTCTGAGCATAATAGTTTTAAAAATGTATTTCTAATAACTGATTTATTTTATCTTTGCCATGATGACAGTAAATAATATTTTACTTGATATGTTTCAAGACACTTCTATGCAGCTTAAAGTGACATTTAAAGGCTTAACTAGGTTAATTAGGTGAACTAGGCGGTTAGGGTAATTAGGGAAGTTATTGTAAAACGATGGTTTGTTCTGTAGACTATCGGAAAAAAAAAAATTTGCTTAAAGGGCCTAATAATTTTGTCCCAAAAATGTTCTTTTAAAAATTAATAACTGTTTTTATTCTAGCCGAAGTAAAACAAATAAGACTTTTTCCAGAAGAAAAAAATATTATCAGACATACTGTGAAAATTTCCTTGCTCTGTTAAAAATCATTTGGGAAATATATATATATATAAAAAAATGAAATCAAAAGGGGGCTAATAATTGTGACTTCAAATGTATATATAATTGATAGCCTGTCATTCCCTATGACAATTAACCCAATTATTTTTTTTTTTATTTTCATGAAAAATAAAGGCTGAGAAGTTTCAGTCTTATTTTGTAGATAAAAGACTTGTGCTTATACAATCCCTACCTGGTTTAAACAAGATTTCTTTTCCCCACAGTATACAGAAAGTGATAAAGAACCTTTCATGTCATGTGGTCATGTCACTGGCCCATGAACATGTCCTGTTTGTTATCAAACTATTTCATAACTGTAACAAGAGGCTATTCAATCATAATTTCATGTCAAAATAGCTGTTATAACATTATTTATCAATATGTGTCTCTTTTTGCATTCTCTGAAGCTATAGAAATTAAAAATGTACAACAGGAAACACACTGCGACCATTGTTTTTGTTTACATCCCTCAAAAAAGTCTATATGTAGAAGACATTTTGAAGAGCATTTGTAATCACCACTGACTTCCACTGTTTATCTAAATATCTTCATGCTCCACATAGCAGCCACACAGTTTTGAACTGCCTTGAGGATGAGTAAATAAAAAATAACCGCAAATAACCCATATTCAATCCATGTAAATAACCCATGTTCATTTTCAAATGTGCCAGCACATACAGTATACATCGCCTCTCACTCACCTGTGTGCGCCCATTGATGACACAATCCCCCAGCTGTCCGTTGGCAGCACTGCGCATGATGGCCTCATCAATGTGAGCCATGAGGGTCCCAATGTTCTCGCAGCCCGGCTCATTGCCTTCGACCCAGGCTATCTGGTCCCCGCGAATGTTCTTAGATGGGATGTTCTTCTGGATGACCAACTGGCCTCCTCTGAACTTCCCACTGCGATTGAGAGTCTGCACTTCCTCTACAACTCTACTGCCCAGGCGTTCCCCCAGGAAAGTATCTTTGACGCAAATGCCGTAAAACTTCATACAGGGAACTATGTATTGCTGGGCCATGTGTTCTGGAGAGCAGGTTGCCACCAGAGGTGGTGCGGTTCGCACTTCGGCCTGTCCAGGGGCCACATGGTTCAATGCAACTTTGTGGCCATTGTGATAAACCCCGTTAGGGTGTGACGCTGAGCAGTTTTTGTGTTGGTGATTGGCTGCAAGAGGCGGAACAGTCCGCATGCTTTTACTAGAGTCTGTTTTGGAGTCTATTTCAACCTTTCTCCTTTTGCATTCATGTATGGGGTCCGTTTCAGAGGAGCATCCAGATCCAGACCCGTTGGCAGAACAACCATTTGTCCCGAAGTCTCTGTTTTCCTCGTCTTTTCTCCTCTGGTGTTGGATTTGTCTAAATCGCAGCTCTCCGATCGGTCTCTTCATAGGCCTGTTGTCCCCATGACTGGTAAGGGCCCCATTGGGAGTCTCTACCAGTCCATTTAGATGTAAACGCTTGCTCTGTGCTTCATCGTAACTTCTGTCGGCTTTAGGTGAAGGCGACAGCACTCCTCCACCATTACACAAAGACAAGCCGCTTTTTGAGTCCTTCAGGAGCGTGATTCCAGATCCAGATCTGGACGTGTGTCCTGCCAGCAGCTCCCCCGCAGTGGTCGCGTTCAGACCCATTATATTTGGGACTCTGTCTGGCGTTGAACTGATACTCTCGCGTCCGTGTGCATTTATAAGGTCCGTATTTCCCAGTCTCTCCATGTCATGTCGTCTACCCCTGGATGCGCACGTAGCTCACGTCCGATCCTCATTTTCTGCAGATTCGGCTCTGCTCATGCCTGCCTGGCGGCGCTGTTATCACCACGGTAAACTTTCACAGCATATGCGGCCCTTCTCCTCAGCTTATTAGTCGGTTAATACTCAATTAACTAATAACTATTATACGTGGCTGTTTATTTCCAGGACACGGGTTTATGAGCGTCTAAAGGCAGAGAGGAACACTGGTTAAACGACTTTTTAAACGTTTATATACACGTCAGCAGCAACTAAGATTATAGCACTATATGTCATATGGAAAAAAAATGCAAATGTAATATAACTTAGTCTACAGTACACTTTCAAAACTGAAAACTTCCGTACAAGTACAGCGATCTAGGCCTATATTATGTTACAAATGACAAGTAGGCTATAATTATAAAAAATAATTCATTTATTGATAGTAAATATTCATGCAATTATCTAACAATGACATAAAATATAAGCCTGTATAATATAGATATAATAAAAATTTTAGAAATCTATAGGATGCAATATTTAGTTAAACATTTGGTTAAATCTATTTTAAAACACGTCTCAAACATTTTTCATCTTTCCGTTGGCAGCCTATGCTGCATAAACGATTGACAAAACACGTCATGATAAATATTAGCCTATATTTAAAGTAATGCACAATAAAAAATTAAGTTCAATAAAACATTATACCAGTAAAATTATTGAGTTCGTTAAACATATTGCGTTAAATACGTTGGCTTATTCCCTAACAGGCCTATCATTCATCATGGTAAACCGATAAATTTATATTAACTGTGTGCTTATAAAGTTAAAGCAAAACATTCAGCACAAAGACAGAAAAGAAAACAAAAATCGTAGTTCAGTCTAGCTACTGGTTACTTACCAATATGTTTAAAGGATCAGCCGCGATTATCCTATATTCCTGTGTTCCACATCTAACACGTCACATATAAAAAATGATATAAAACTACGTTTCCAGAGACAGACAACACTGTAATTTGCGTGCTTACATCCCTTGGTGAACAAAGAGTAAGTATGCTTCGGATCTGATAAAACAGCGTGCGGGTGGCAGAACTACTCATCCTACTATGGCCGAGGCTGAGCTCATTAATATTGAATTACGAGGCTCCTAAAGCGTCCAATCAAGTAGCCTGAGTAATATTTAAGAGCCCATTCGTCCCCATAGTAGGTTCGGTAAAGCCGCTTCCGTGTGCGATGGCGCGCCCCTCCCTCTCCTCCTCTCTCTCCATGAGCGGCTCTGTCACTTACACGTGCGCACATTCACGTCACGTGACCACCAGAGCCACAATAAAAACACTGGCTCCTGAGAGAATTTAACACGCTAAACATATGCATATGTGTGTATGTCTAGATAGATACACTGAAAAAATATATATATTTATTGGATTTATAAATATTTTAAGGTAAGTGGTTGCAAACAATTCATAATGGCTGAATTGAACAACAAATTCAATTTAGGAATGTTCAACTTTGTTTAAATTCAGCCCATATGAATGGTTGCAACCACTAACCCTGAAAAATAGTAAATCCAGATAGATAGATAGATAGATAGATAGATAGATAGATAGATAGATAGATAGATAGATAGATGGATGGATGGATGGATGGATGGATGGATGGATGGATGGATGGATGGATGGATGGATGGATGGATGGATGGATGGATGGATGGATGGACGGATGGTTCAATGCTAAGGATTTTTTCGATTTACTTGCCCTGCCAAAATTTTCACTGTTCCACAAAAAAAAAAAAAAAAAGTTAATAGCTATTTCTTAGCCACTCAGTTAAAATAGTTGAGTTAAAAATACCCCCAACATATAACCCAACTATAGGTTATTATAGCACCTTCCCAACTATGGGTTTTGTTAACCTAATGCATTGGGTTATAAAATGTAACCCAATTCATTGGGTCATTTTAATTAAATGTTATTTTTTTCCATTCTGGTATTACTAATGCTACTATTACTAGTATTACTATTAATTTTATAATTATGGCTGTGTAAATAAATAACATGAAGTTTTCAAAAATGTTGAATTGATTTATTTCCAGACACAGCGTTGTTATCCATTTACATTTAGTCATTTAGCAGACACTTTTATCTAAAGCGACTTACAAATGAGGACAAGAAAGCAATTTACACAACTACAAGAGCAACAATGAAAAAGTGCTGTAGGCAAGTTTCAGGTATGTAAAGTGTAAAAAGCAAAACATTAGTAATTTTTTATTTATTTATTTTTTGTAATACAGTTAGCGGTAGAACCAGAGAGGTAATTGCAGATTAGGAAGGGAAGTGGAGACTTAATAGTTGAGTTTTTAGTCGTTTCTTGAAGACAACGATTCATTTAATAGCGATTCATATCCATTTAATATAGATCGGTCACAAAGCGTGCGTTTGTAATCTGTTAAAATAGCTGGGTTAAAAATACTCCAACATACAACCCAACTATTATGACAGCATATTCCCAACTATGAGTTATTTCAACCCAATTCATTGGGCTATATAAATTTAATCCAATGCGTTGGGTTATTTTGATTAAGTGTTATTAATTTGCATTTTGTTATTACTATTGCTACTGCTATTCATTTTATAATTATGGCTGTGTAAATAAATAATACACAGTTTTCAAAAAATATTGAAAATGCTTTATTTCCATTACATTTTAGTTCCAGAAACTTTTTGTTAAAATAAATTAAGAATAACAAACAATGAAGAAACAGAACGAACAAAGTAGACAGTTGTAAACTGTGCAAGTAGAAAGTCCTCTGTTTAATGGAGCAGAATATGGAGCTCTGTGTGCTGTAGAGGCTGTCCAGCAGCTGCAGCAAGCTTCACTCAGTGTCCACAGTGTACAATACATTTTAATCACATCTAAACGCTTCTAAAAGATGATCCTGGATGGTGAAATGGATTTAAAAAACTCGACACGGAGAGGTAATTTAATAAAAAAATAAAACAAATTATTGTGTTATAGCTTAAATAAACTTTATAACGCTTTATAAACTTTAAACTTTATAAAAAACAACATTACTCACACATATTAAAACAGCTGTTTTAGGTCGGTTAAATCAGTTGACTGTTGAAATAAAAATTGTTGAGTTATTAAATAAATAACCAAATAAAGGTTAAAAAAAACAACAACACACCAAATATTTAAGTCAACTGGTTGAGTTATTAATAAATAAACTAATAAAGGTTAAAAATAACCCAACAAAGCACCAAATATGTTTAACTCTACCATTAGGTTAAATAAATGACTACATTTTTTAGAGTGTATCATCAATAATAAAGAGTGCTAATGAAACGGATAGAAAAAAACACGACACGGACAGCTAATTTGATAAAAACAATAACATTATTGTGTTAAAGCTTAAATGAACGTTATAACGCAAAAAAAAAAAAAAACATTAGGCATACATATTAATACAGCGGTTTTGTGCCAGTTAAATCAGTTGACTGTTGAAATTTTACCCATTTTAACCCAACTGGTTGAGTTATTTATAAATAACCCATTAAAAATTAAAAAATAGCCCAACAAAGCACTAAATATTTTTACCTAAACCATTGGGTTAAATAAATAACTTTTTTTAGAGTGTAACTAAAACAATGGAGTTTGGACTGCTTAAATGACATCCATGTTAACTGTTTTGAGAAAAAATGGTGGGGAAAATGCGTCAACCCAATAAGAAAGGGTTTACACATTTGCAAGACCTGTCTTCTGCTCTGCTGGGATAGTGATAATGAAAATGAAGTGGAACCTTGTTTCCTTAACCAGGTCAAAGCAAACAAGAAAAACTGTATTATTAATATTATTATCATTATTATTATGTTTCTTTAGCAGGAGGTCATCAAAATGATTTCTGAAAGATTCTGTGACAAATGATGCTGCTGCTTTAAACCACACATTTAACCACTAGCTTCCTTGGGGTGCTTTCAGAGTGATGATATAACCATTGTGGGTTGTACAAAGAACCTTTTACTGAAGATATCTTAAAGGGGTGGTCCACTACAATATCATATTTTAAACTTTAGTTGATTTGTAATATAGCTGTGTGAACATCAACAACATCTCTGAATAAAAAAAGCTTAAAGTTCAATGCAAAGGGAGACCTTGGTTTTTACAGAGTTAGCTGCAATGAATGAATTTTGGGGACTACAAAAAATACTTTCGGCCCCTGTGAGATCACAAAGGTACTTTTACTGCACACACACGGTGCACCAAAGGGCCGTGGCCAGAGGTGCTGTAACGTTACAGCAGAGAGTTAAAATGCTACCAAACGCTGCTGTTTCAGAGCTTTGTCTGTTTCTGTATTTGGGCGTCCAAAGGACACGACACAAAGACAGTGCTTACAGTTCAATATTAATTATGTTGCAGAGAATTATAAAATACATAGCATAATTTGACAAAACAGCCCCAGAATCTCTTCCAGTTCAGAGCTGGATACGGTAAAAATCTCCTCAAAGCAGAAGCTGAGAACTACAACCTGTAAGTGTTTTTGTTTGTTAAAATCGATCATGACATGTACAGTGTCTAGCGTTGACGGTATGCTGTAGCAACGATGGGAAATGATGTTTTGCACCGCAAATAATTTAGCTACAAATTCTATCAGAAATATCTATCAGTCAAACTGCTATAAACAGACACTTAACAGTTTTTATTTTAGAGAGCAGGCAGGAGGTTTACTGACAATTTACACAGAAGAAAAGCACGTGCTTGTATGGCCGTGACGTGGAGCCGATCCGCAAATCACAGCACATTATGACGATGACCAATCAGAGTCACTTGAGGGTGAGCCTTTCAGAGGAACTAGGAAATATTTCAGTCGTTTTCATGTTGCTGAGTATCTGTTTATAATCAAAGTGATATGAAAAAATAACGTGATTTCCTTCAAGTGAAACATGAGCACACATTGCTTTGCATCTAATAAACACAACCAAGCCTAAAAAATACATTCTGGACCACCCCTTTAAAATATGTATTTTTAATTAGTGTGAAAAGCATTTAACTTATTCATTCATTTAATTTTCTTTGGCTTAGTCTCTTTATTCATCAGGGGTCTGATCTCTGCTCTGCCGACCTTTGATGTTGAAAATTCATCTCTGAAGGTTAATAAAGTAAATTTTATTGCCATTTTACTTAATAATAATAATAATTATATATGTATGTATAAAAATCCTTATAATAACAGAAAAAGTACTGGCAGTTTATTACCATGTTTTTGTAGTGTAATTTAAAACACTAACACTAAAAATAATTCACTTAAAACTATTAAAAATGTCAATAAAGTCACCTTTTCAAACTGTTCAACAAGAAAAGACACTGAAGGACATCATGCATGCAAAAGCATGCATAAATGAGGAAACAGAACCTTTTCCCCAACTTTCAGGAGCTAAACATCCCATGGATGATAAATGATATTCGTGCCTTCATTCTTAAGAAGTCATGTTGTGCGTTTTTTGCTAAATTATTGTGCTTGTCTTGCATTATTAAAGATCAGAAACAGACTTTGGCTGTTTCTCAATATGCGTTCTTCAGCGGTCTTGCGTCCTCGTGTTCTCGTGAAACATCATCATCAGCTGCCTAAGTTCAGTTCCAATACTCAAGACTGCAAGTACTGAGGACGCGTGAAACTTCCCGGATGTGTTCTTGATATCGAGGACGCACTGATGCAGACTTGAGCACCGAACAAGCTCTGGAAGTCCCAGAAGTCATTGCGACTGGAGGTGGGAAGCGCAGCATTTTGTCTAGATTTATTGTTAAAGGTCAGAGATATCACTTATTTACCTCAGGAGTTTCCCTAAACGAAACGGTGAAAGTAAACATTACCATGGACATCTTAAAAAAGGAATAAACACATTAAGGGTGTTTGTTTGCTAAAATTCGTATTAAAATCTGTTTTATTTATATTGTGCAGAGTATATTTATAATGTTTTTATGCAAAGTATATATTTTGAAGAGGGGGGAAACAATAAGTCGTTGTATGAAGGCTGTAATGTTTAAATAATTTACTATTTAAAACGCGTGAAGGTCACGTGACCATGAGGAAGAACGCAGCATCCCATTTCT